GAGTTAAGACGTTTACACAAATGATTAAATTATGGGTGGAATGTAATCAGTGCTATATGATTTTTAAAAAAGGAGTAGAAGAAGTTCTGAAGATAGGTTGGGGTGATCAAAGAAGACTTTGGGGAGGAGAGAGCTTGGGATAAAGACCTTGAATGAGAGATGGCATTTTAGTGAGTGGAGATATAGGGGAAAGCAAAAGGGAGGGCAGTAGCATCGAATAGCAGGAACATAACTTAGGTAATGACATCCAGGAGGACCCAGAGAAGAGAAAGGTGGCAGAGAACTTTGGGCTGGTGATCCATGGAGGTAGAGCTGATTGTTATACTCCATGTGTGGACTATAGCCACGATGCTGTACCCCCTTCATTGGATCCCCACGATGACCTAGTGAGGTAGACACTCAGCAATCAGTCAGTCAGTGAATGTTTATTAAGTGCCTACTATGTGCCAGGTACTTGGCTAAGCTCTGGGGATACAAAGAAAGGCAAAAGACCATCAGTCCCTCCTCTAAAGGAGCTCACGATCTAATGGGGAGACAACATGCTAAGAGCTATGTACAAACAACATCTGTGCAGGTGACATTGGACATAGTCAGTGGAGTGAGGGCACAAGAGTTAGAGGGATTAGGGAAGGCTCCTTGTGGAAGGTGAGGTTTTAGATGAGTCGTGAAGGGAAGCCAGAAGTGAGGAGGTACGGGGAACGGCCGGTGAAAATGCCCAGAGTTGGGAAGTGGAGAATCTTGTTCAAAGACCAGCCAGGAGGGCCACGTCGCTGGATCAATGAGTTTGTTCAGAGTTTGGGAAAAGGGAATGAGTGGGAGGAAAGTATAAGAGGACTGAAAGGGCAGAAAGGGGTCAGGGCTTCAAATGCCAGAGGGTTTTGTGTTTGGTCTTGGAAGTGATAGGGAGCCCCTGGAGTTTACTGAGTAGGGGTGTGACATGGTCAGGCCTCAGGAAGATCCATTTGACGGCTGTGTGGAGAATGGCCTTGGAAATGTCTCATTCTTCACCTTGAGTCCATCCCCGCCTCTATCAAAAGGCAGAGGTAACGTGCTTCATCATCCATCCTCTGGAGACAGGGTTGATCATTGCATTGATCAGAGTTCTCAACTCTTTCAAAGCTGTCTTTTGTCTTTATGATATGGTTACTGCACGTCTGGTTCTTCTCACTTCACTCTGCCTCAGTTCATACAAGTCAGTGATGACGACTTTAAATGACAAGACTCAGATTGATTGTCCAAAAGCATTGGACGACATTGGCACCAATTGATGAGGCTTTCACCATTTTTTAATAAATGAAAAGCTACATAGGGGCAACCAGGTGGCGCAGTGGATAGAGCATTGGCCCTGGATTCAGGAGGACCTGAGTTCAAATCTGGCCTCAGACGCATAACACTCACTAGCTGTGTGACCTTGGACAAGTCATTTAATCCTATTGGCTAGCCAAAAAAAAAAAGTTAAAAAAAAGCTACAAAAGTGTGAGGCTTCATGTGTAGTCAGTTGAGATCTTGGATTTTACTTAACCAGTTTGGTGGCTGATCCACTTGTGAATTTGCTGGGGGTTGCATAAGGTATTGAAAGAATAGTAGAATCTTGGGGGGACAAAAAAATGACAGTGGAGAGACAAGATTGCCATGTCCAGGCATTTGAAGGGCACTCATATGCAAGAAGTACTAAACTTATTCTGTTTGGCCCCATCCTACAGGACCAGGAACAACCAATTGCAAAGTTGCAAAGAGCCAGATTTAGGCTTGATGTCACAAAAAACTTCCCAATTTTCCAGAGCTGTAGAAAAATTAAATAGGTTATCTCTGGAAGTGGTGGGCTTGCCTCTTTGGAGGGCTTTATGCAGAAGCTGGATGATTACTTTTTTCAACATTTTTGTCACCGTCTTTTCCTGCCCCCACTTTTGCACTGAAGTCACTTGTTTTTACTAGATGACACTGAGCCTCATCTGAAAAATGAGGGGGCAGATGGTGATGAGGTCTCTTCCAGCTCCAGATCCATGCTTCCATGTTGATTCAATTTGGAGGATTCTCCCCACCCCCATTAAAAAAATGGATGACATTGAGGATTTTTTTACATTACAGTAACTTTCTTATGTACTCTCTTTTCCCCACCAAACCTTCCCTGTTAGCAAAGAAAAACAGTTAAGCAGTGCTTGCTCACCAGATAACCACATCTGACAGAACTCCACACCCATGGTTATCTCCTTTCCCCTCCCACCTCCACCCCCAACCAAGAGGACAGAGTTGTGTTTCATCAGTTTAGAAGGACTTTCCTGAGGTGGAGGGAGCTGCTCTGCCCCTGTCCTCCTTGTACAAGCTGCTCTTATCTTCTTGGTGGCCTTTTTGGCTTGTGCTCATCCCAAGCGCTGCAAAGGGGGATCACACCATGGCCCCTTCAGTGATGTTTCTTTCTTGTTCCTTCTGGGCCTGTGACAAAAACAACTCCCCCAGTTCTCTTAAGAGAACTCGTGAACCCTCCTTGTGTTAAACTGCACTTTCCTCCTATCTTCTGGTTTCGGTTTATGCCATAAAGTCAATATTGACACCATTGATTTCCTCCAGTAGCATGTTGACTCACTGGGCAAACATCTTATGTTCCGGGCATGAACAATTAAGTGAATGCTGATTTACAGCCTTAAAACTGGTCCTCCACCCCTTATGCCCCTCTGTTACCATCACTGTAGAGCTGGTGGGGGCAACCCAGACCCAAGGACCATTTTGTGTTTTTCTCTGTTTTCTTGGGTTGCCTGGGCCCAAGAATTCATTGTCTGGTGGACAGCTCCCTGGTGCTGAGCGTTTCCATGCTTTGACCATAGCTTGGCTTTCAAAGAGTAGGTGCAGCGTGTTGCCAGGACCGTAACTGAAGCCTTTGTAGCATGATATGTTCTTAATTTGTTCTCATCTCCCTTTTACAGGTGACTGAAACAGACCCAGAAAGATCCTTTCTTTACCCTCGGTCTCTTCTGAAAATGTGGTTCCAGTAGAACCATATGGATGATAGCCCAAGTCAGCATGGTTGTGACTTTCTTGTCTCGTCACTTATTTAATTGATTTGATTGGGAAGCACTTTGTAAACCATAAAAGTGCTCTGGGAATCATTTCAGTTGATCCTTCTCACTACAATGAGGATGCTCATTTTGCCAATGAGTGTCCCTTCCACACAGCTAGTCTCGGGCAGGATTTGAACCTAGCTCTTCCTGACTCCAAATCTAGCATTATGCCACATTGCCTTTCAGTTGGCTCTGCCTGGGCCTTCCCAGGACTTGACAATAGCATCCTGACCACGTTTGCATGAGCTTTGGTCCAAGGGCTTAGCAGTGAAGAAGGCAGCAGCATTCTTGTCTTACCCTTCTAACAAAGCTCCTTCTCATGAGGCTTGGCTTTGTTAGCTCTGAGGCTGATCCAGGGTCTCACCAAGCTGTCGTCTTGATTCCCTGCTTTGGGGGAGCCTCGAGTTCCCATGAACGTGAGTTTCACTGTCTTTCTGATCATGTGTTCCAGCAACTTCTGCTAGTGAACCCCCATGTTCCCTTTCTGCTGTCTGGAAAACTTGTCATGAAGAGGGGTGGTCAGTGGACTAGAGGATCTTTAGTGATGACCTGGTCCAGCCCTCCCATTTTACAAACGGGAAAACACAAGCCTAGAGAGGGGAAGGAAAGGCAGGGTGATCACCCTTCCCTGATCTCTCCAGCAGTCCCCGGGCATCTGGTGCAACCGGTTCCCTGAATGTCTGCCCCTTCTGCCTTTTTCCAGACTTGGTCTCCTCACGATGCTTCTAGTTTTAGAGTTCTTGTCTTGATTGGTCTTGGGGTGAAGGCTACTGCAGCTCTTTCCAGTCCTCTTCAGGTCTCCCCAGGCTCCTAGCCCTTGCATCCTCATTTCTTCCTGGATGCTCCCCTCAACCTGGGTGGTTTGGGCAGCTCCAGGGATTTGGGCCGGACATCTCTTGAGGCTGCTTTAGCAGTTTGTCTGCATTCCAGGAAGTAGAATGAGCAAGGTTCCAGACCACAGGTTCCACTCCCTATGGAGAAGGAGCCACAGAGAGGGATCCCCTTTTTCCAGGACATCCATGGACACGTGCAGTGTTGGAGAAAAAACTCTGAATTTGGAGTTTGGGGACATGGGGTCCAATCTCAGCTCTGCCATTTTATTGGCTGTGTGATCTTGGGCAAGGCACCTTCTCTGGGCCTGTTTCTTCATCTGTAAAATGAGGGTTTCGTAGCAGATGGCCGCCAAGGTCCCCGCTAACCCTAAATCTCTGATCTTTCTCTAACCTTTAGTTTCCTCCTCGGGGCTTCTTCCTGGCACTCTCTGGGGCTGCCTTGGCCCCCCACCATTGTCCTTTTTTTTGGTCTTTCAGGCTCTGGCAATAGAAATAGGGGACCCCCTTCTCTCGCCCATCAACACAGTCTGCTCTGCTGCTGTCTTTAGATTTCCATCCAGAGCCCTTTGCTGTCTGTCCTCTCTTCCAGCTTACCTTGGCGTGGTGCTTTCATCATGAATTTTGTTGATTTATTCTCTCTCTCTCTGGGTTTTGAGGTGCTTTCAGCCTTGCTGCTGGGGTCCCAGAGGCACTGTCATGCCTTTAAGAGCCTGAGACCCATTCAGTGTGTAGCAACTTGGGCTGTTGCATGCACCTCCCTTCTTCAGGCCCGCTTGGTCCCCTTAATGCCGACAGCCAGTTAGCACAGTGGCATGGGATCTCACCACGATGTACCAAGTCCTCTGATAGCCCCTTTATTTTTTTTCCTTGGACTCCAAGAAGCTGGCCTGTTTGCTTCCCACTTTGCATTCACCTCTTATGGGTTCGGGGACAGTCTGGAGAGATGGGGTGAAGTCTAGAGGCAGGGCAGAGGGTTGGAAGGATGGGAGGAGCTCCAGGGACAAGCAGAGGGTTGTAGGGTTGGGGGTGCTGTAGGGACAGGGCAGAGGGTTGAAGGGATTGGATGGTAGAGGGTCTGGATGGGTCAGGGTGTATCCTGGTCTCTCCCTAGGTTCAGGGCTTGGTGTGCCGCCTCCTTCGGAACTTACCAACCCAGCCAGTAACCTGGCCACAGTAGCTGTCCTGCCTGTGTGTGCAGAGGTGCCCATGGTAGCCTTCACCCTGGAGTTGCAACATGCTCTGAGAGCCATTGGTCAGTGTGGAAGAAGGAGTGCCTTGATCAGCATTGGGGAGGGGTCCCTGGGCCTGTCTGTCAGTCCATGGAGTGGAGCAGGGTGGGGTGGGGGCAGTTACAGGGGATGTCCCCTAAGATATCCTTCCTTGTTTCCTCCAGGCCCAACTCTGCTCCTCAACAGCGACATCATCCGGGCGCGGCTTGGGGCTTCAGCTCTGGACAGGTGAGAGGCTGGGAGGGATTAGGGGCTGGGGTCCTCTGCTGGCACTGGTGCTCATTCCTTCAAACCTCATGCAGCATCCAGGAGTTCCGGCTGTCTGGTTGGCTGGCCCAGCAAGAGGACACACACCGCATTGTGCTCTACCAGACAGACGGCTCGCTCACCCCCTGGACCGTGCGCTGCCTGCGCCAGGCTGACTGCATCCTCATCGTGGGCCTGGGTGACCAGGAGCCCACACTTGGCCAGGTGCTGACCCCTGACCTTCAGCCCCTCTTGTCCCAGAGTGTTGGCCTCCCGGCCCCATTCTGACCTGACCTGCTTCCTGCCTCCTGCGCAGCTGGAGCAGAGGCTGGAGAGCACGGCCGTGCGGGCCCTGAAGCAGCTGGTCCTGCTGCACCGCGAGGAGGGCCCGGGGCCTGCCCGCACAGTCGAGTGGCTCAACATGCGCAGCTGGTGCTCAGGCCACCTGCACCTGCGCTGCCCACGCCGGCTCTTCTCCCGTCGCAGTCCTGCCAAGCTGGTACCACTGGGGCTGGGGGGGAGGACGGAGGACCTGGGGCAGACGGGGAGGCAGAGGGAAGGGAGGATCGTGGCGCTGGCCCCTGCCACCTCTGCCAAGTGCATGTCCTCATCTTGCCTCCCCAGCGAGAGCTCTACGAGAAGGTCTTCTCTCGCCGTGCTGACCGCCACAGTGACTTCTCCCGCTTGGCCCGTGTGCTGACGGGAAACACCATTGCCCTTGTCTTGGGAGGGGGTGGGGCCAGGTAAATGATGGCTCCAAACATAGGAGGTCGTGGGGAAAGGGGCTCGAGAAAGGCCAGCTTCTGATTGGGGGCTGCTGATCATTGATCCTTGGCCCCCAGGGGCTGCTCCCATATCGGGGTGCTGAAGGCTTTGGAGGAGGCTGGTGTGCCCGTGGACATGGTGGGTGGCACGTCCATTGGCTCCTTCATTGGGGCCCTTTATGCAGAAGAACGCAGTGCGAGTCGTACTAAGCAGCGTGCTCGGGAATGGGCCAAGGTAGTCCCAGAACCTTCTCCCTGCCCCCCCACTGTACCCTGAGATCCCTCTTTGAACCCCTCATGCCTGTTACAAACCTCAGTGGCTCCCTGTGAACCCTTCAGGCTCCCTCATTGTCCCCTTGTGAGTGCCTCAGGTCCCTTGGTTCCCCCCCAATAAATCTCGGTGACTCCCTGTGAACCCCTCAGGCCCCCTTGGCGTCCCCCTGTGAACCCCTCAGGCCCCCTTGGCGTCCCCCTGTGAACCCCTCAGGCCCCCTTGGCGTCCCCCTGTGAATCTTAGCAGCTCCATGCTCCCTAGCACCTGGTGTCAAGCTCCCTGGCCTTCTCTCCATGTCTCCCACAGAGCATGACGTCAGTGTTTGAGCCGGTGCTGGACCTCACGTACCCTGTTACCTCCATGTTCTCAGGCTCTGCCTTCAACCGAAGTGTCCACCGGGTTTTCCAGGACAGGCAGATTGAGGTGCTGCCCTTCTCCACCTCTCACAATAACCTCATCCTGATCCTCAGGCCTCTTTCTTCTTTTCTGTCCCCCCTGCCATGCTCTGACACCTTTGCCTGCTCTCTCCCTTACCTCCTTCTTGGTCAAACCCTCAGGCATTTGGCTTTGCGATTTGAGTGTAGGGACTGGCCTCTTCACCCATCCCATTTTACCATTGCCACAAGGGCCCTGCAGGGGGCACGCACCCTGTTTTTCCATTTCTCTGTCTGGGAAAGAGAATTTGGCAAATGACTCCTATTCATTATCTGGCCCCAGGTTGGCAGAATTTGCAGCAGGCGCCAAGGGAGCAGGGGTCTGGGCACTGTAAGCCAGGCACACGGCTCCAGGTGATTGGGACTGGAGCAGTTTTCATCTTATGGGAGGAGTCTCTTCCTCTGCAGGCTGCTCCAGCCCCAGGACCTGGTTCAGCTCCCATTCTCCTCACCCTCCTCTCCTGCCCTTCTTCTGTCTGGTCTGGCTTTCGTGGGCCCACCACTCTTCTGACCCTGTGGATTGTGACCATTAACTTCTTATCAGGATGTATCAGCGTTGCATCCTTAACCCTGCCCCAATCTTGTACCCTGGGGCTTTGGGCATGGGCTTAAGGTTATGCCATAATTAGCCTGTGGTTACTGCTCAGATTTTTTGAGCCTCCCACCTGATTCCCAGAGGAGCAGATGCCTGCCCTCCAGATGAGGCCGGGTTACCTGGAGGGCAGTGAGGACGTGAGCCTTTATGAGAATGGAAGCTGTTTTCTCACTCTGACTTCAGACCCTCTTGTCTCAACTTGGACATTGCTGCCCCTGTCCCTTCTTTGGCGTATCCTCTGATTCTCAGCCTATTTTCTCCACTCTTTTTTCCATCCTTTGTGCATTCTCATCTTTACATTCTCATTCAACACCGTCATCTTGTTCATGGCAGGAGCTTTCACTTGATTTCCCCATAAGTACCAGATAGCTGCCCTACCTGTCAGACCAGGCCAGTTCCTGGAGCCCAGCTGCCATTTTAGCCCTTTTCCCCATGGTTTCTCCTTGAATATTCCCACCAGTGCTTGCTCCTCTCCAAAGGAGAAGAGGCATCCTTTTTGTTCTGAAATTGGAGGGCTCCTCCACCTCCCCTCCCCCCACCTCCTCTTCCCCAAGTTCCTTTTTAGTATCTGCTATTTCTTGTCTTGAGGCTCTTAGATCTCTTACACATTGCCCACTCTCTGTCTAACACCTCCCATACTTCAGAGGTGACAATCCTTCCCCTGGTCATGCCCATTCAGCTTAGACCAGGGGTGGTTCTTTTTTTTTTCCTTAAATATATTTTAATTTATTTCATTAAATATTTCCCAACTACATGTAAAAAAAATTTAACATTCATTTTTTAAAATTTTGAGTTCCAAATTCTCTCCCTCCTGCCCCTCCCCTACTCATTGAGAAGGCAAGCAATATGATATGTTATACATGTGAAGTCATGTAAAACATTTCCATATTAGTCATGTTGCAAAAGAAAACAGAAACACACACACACACACACACACACACACACACAAGAAAAATAGAGAAAGTAAAAAAAAAGTATGCTTCATTCTATACTCAGAGTTCATCAGTTCTCTCTGGAGGTGGATGGCATTTTTTTATCATGGGTCCTTTGGAATTGTCTTAGATCATTGTCTGCACCAGAATATAAAAGTCTTTCACAGTTGATTATTGTACACAATTGCCATTACTATGTACTATGTTCTTCTCACTTCACAGCATCCGTTCATGTAAGTCTTCCCAGGTTTTTTGGAAACCATCCTGCTCATTATTTCTCGTAGCACATTAGTGTTCCGTCACAATCATATGCCACAGCTTGTTCAGCCATTCCCCAATTAATGAGCATCCCTTCAGATTCCAGCTCTTTGCCACCACAAAAAGAGCTGCTATAAATATTTTTGTACAGATAGGTCCTTTTCCCTTTTCTTTGCTCTCTTTGTGTTACGGACCTAGTAGTGGTACTGCCAGGTCAAAGGGCATGCCCAGTTTTATAGCCCTTTGGGCATAGTTCCAAATTGGCCTCCAGAATAATTGGATCAGTTCACAACTCCACCAACAATGCATTAGTTAGATTGGGGGTTCTTAACCTGGGGTCTGTGAACATGTCTTTTAAAAATATTTTGATAACTGTATTTTGGCATCATTGGTTTCCTTTGTAATCCTGTGTGTTTTATTTTATGCATTTGAAAACATGATTCTGAGAAGAAGTCCTTAGGCTTCCCAAAACTGATGGCCAAACAGGTTAAGGACCCCTGGGAGACTGACAGCTTCTCCACATCTGTCCATCCATCCATCCATCCATCCGTCTGTCTGTTAATCTCCAAGCGTTTATTAAGCACCTGCTAGGTGCCAGGCTCTAGGGATGCAAGTACAAAGAACAAACCAGTCTCTGCCCACAGGGAGCTTGTTTTCTAAGGGAGGACGGGGGGACACAAGAAGCATATAAAGATCTTCATTCTCTGTGTGTTTATCTGCGAGTAAATGCGCTTCCTGAGATGTAAGCTAAGGACCTCCTCCATTGGGGTTCTGTTCCCGGGGGCACAGGGAGGGAGAGGAAGAGGCTCCTAGAGATGTAGTTGTTATGAGCATCAAATGTGAGAAAACCTGTGTAAAGTGTTGTTAAAACTTACTGTGCTGTAGTTAGCTGCTATTATGCTTCTTAAACTCTTCAGATGTAATTCCTACCAAGAGAAAAGTGAGGCTTTCGCAGCATTCCCTTCAGTCTTCCCTGATCACTGTCCTCCCATTGCCGTCCCTGTGCCCTTGTCCACCATCTTTGTCCACCAATCACTGTCTCTCCTCCCCCCAGGATCTGTGGCTGCCTTACTTCAATGTGACCACAGATATCACTGCCTCGGCCATGCGTGTGCACAAGGACGGTAGGCCCCCCCACGCACTCTTTTTCCTAGAGCCCACGTCTTCGCTGCCCTTCAAGGGACCTGGCCGCTGAGGAAGTGGGGGAGTGGGGAGGGTGTCAGGGCCTGGTCCTGCTCAGATGGAACACTCACTCACTAACCCTTTGATGGTGGCCTTGGCACTGTCCCTATACAAGTTCCCCCTCATTGGGGTAACTTGAGGCCTCCTGTGTAGGAGGGCTGGACTGTGCTTCTTTTTGGAGTGGATTCTCAGGGAGGGGACTTGGGTCGGTGTTGGTGGCTTTCAGCTTTAAGGGGCCATGGTTGCTGGGGGTCTGGGTGCAAGGGAAGCCGGGGCTGAGCCATCTGGGACATTGTTAACAGCTGAGCTGCCTGTCTGCCTTGGGGTGCTGGCCAGGGCTCCCCAGCCCCAGTGACCTCTAACCTCTAACCTGCTAACCCACCAGGGACCCTCTGGACAGTTTGGACTCCCAGGCCCTGAGCTGGGAGCAGATATGGGGTCCCACCAAAGGTCCCCCACCTTCCCCAGGATGAAAGTCTGCCTTGCTGTCCTCTTCTACTCTTCCTCCTCCCTCACTCTCTCCACCTCCAGTATGGTCCTCGTCTTGCCATCTCTCCCCGTCTTGGTTCTCATCCTGTCTCCACTCAGGTCCCTGGTCCCTTCTGCCTGCCCCTCAGCCCCTGGCCCCTCGTCACTCTCTCCCCCTTCGTGTTCCCATTCCTCTCTGTCCCCTTGAAAGGGGAGTGGCCCATCTGGCCCAGTGCTTCCTGCAGCCCATTTCTTTCTGCTCTGTCTCTTCTCTGAAGGCAGCATGTGGCAAGGTCCAGTGCCTTCCCTGTCTCTGCCACCTCCATCCCTTTCCTGGTCCCCTTCTCTTCCTCACCCCCGCCCCACTCTGTCGCTTCCCCGTCCCCCTATCCTCTCACACTCCCCTCCCACTCTGTCCCCCGCAGGCAGCGTGTGGCGGTATGTCCGGGCCAGCTCTTCCTACAGCCCGTACCTGCCCCCCCTGTGTGACCCCTCGGATGGGCACCACCTGGTGGATGGGTGCTATGTTAACAATGTCCCAGGTCAGCACCGGGGGGCGCTGCTCTTGGCCCCCCCTCAGGTGGGGGGGGACCCTTGGGTGGGGGGGCCTGACGTGGTGTCCCCCCTCCCTGGGCAGGGTCTCTCTGGCGGTATGTCCGGGCGAGCATGACGCTCTCGGGCTACCTGCCCCCCCTCTGTGACCCGAAGGATGGCCACCTGCTCATGGACGGCGGCTACATCAACAACCTGCCAGGCAAGTGGCTGGGCCAGGGGTGGGTGCAGGGCACTGCATGCAGGCACAGATGACCGTGGGTGTGCACATGTGTAGGCACAGCTGTGTGCATGAGAGGCACACGGGAGCCTGGGAGCCTGGAAACAGAGAATATCCAGATGGTCTTCCAGCGCCAGTGATTCCGGACCAGACCTAGTGGCCCTCCTGTTCCCTCCTGGGCCTCCGGGGCCGAGCCCTCTCGCTACTGCACAGGTCTCCTTCCCTTATGACCAGCCTCATGCCCTCCCCTGTTCTCCCTCAAGCGCAGGTACATCAGCTTGCTCCCTTTGAGTTCCGAGGAGCTGGACTCATGGGGTTCATGCAGGTCACCTCTGGCTCCACATACGTCACACAGGCACACCCAGAATGCAAAGGAAAGAAAAGCGTCCCGGAAAACTCTGACTGGTGTAGCGGCATGCTGCCTCCTCTGCCTTTTCTTCCCTGAGTCCTCTCCATCTCAGCCTCTCACCCTGCTCTTGGCCCTTTGTGGTGGCTGCTTGGGGCAGGATGGGAGGGAAAGTGCTCCTTCCCTGCCTGTCGTGTGGCCCCAGCCTTGGGCAGCCCCTCCTAGAGACAGCGGGCCTGGGGTAGGGTTCAGAAGCAGTCTGGCAGAGGGACCCCATTTCCTGGGCATACTTCTTTTCTTCCTGGTCTCCCAAAAGGAAGTGCTGAATGTTCATACACCAAGGCTCCCCCCCCACACATACAACTGTACCAGCCCCTTTGTCCTCCCTCAGCCCTCCATTATTCTAGCTGATTCCCCCTTTCTGCCCTATAGCTGATATTGCCCGGAACATGGGGGCAAAGACAGTGATAGCCATCGACGTAGGCAGTCAGGATGAAACTGACCTGAGCAACTACGGGGACAGTCTGTCGGGTTGGTGGCTTCTCTGGAAACGTCTCAACCCCTGGGCTGAGAAGGTCAAGGTGAGTGAGGCCTCCCAACTCAGAGCCAGGGGGCAGAGGATCAGGGCTGGGATGGGCTGGGTTAAGTGAGGCCCTGTTCCTTTGTAGGTGCCGGACATGGCAGAGATCCAGTCCCGCCTGGCCTATGTGTCTTGTGTGAGGCAGCTGGAGGTCGTGAAATCAAGTTCCTACTGTGAGTATCTGCGCCCACCCATAGACTGCTTCAAAACCATGGACTTCGGCAAGTTTGACCAGATCTATGTGAGTATGGGAGGAGCAGGTGGGAGTGAGGATGGGGACTGTGGGTAGGAATGGGGTCAAGGTTGAGGGAGTGGATTCAGGAGGGGAAGATCTCAGGTTGAACCCCTGCCTCCAGCCTTCCCTTGGCCCTGCAGGACGTGGGTTATCAACATGGAAAGGTGGTGTTTGGGGGCTGGAGCCGTGGGGACATCATTGAGAAGATGTTGAGGGACAGGCGTTCTGCTGACCTTAATGAGAGTCGACGTACCACTGATGTGAGTCACTGAGCCCGCCCCAAACTCCACCCCAATGGTGGACTCCCCCCATCCCCCGCCCCCACATACACACTGACTCCCATGGTGGACTCCCCCCCATTCCTCTCCTCCACATATACATTGACTCCCATGGTGGACTTCCCCCCATCCCCTGCCCCCACATACACATTGACTCCCATGGTGGACTCCCCCCATCCCCCGCCCCCACATACACACTGACTCTCATGGTGATTCCTCAGGTGCTGACCTGTCCCAGTGCAGGCTTTACTGACTTAGCAGAGATCGTGTCCCGGATTGAGCCAACCAAAAGCTATGTGTCTGACAGCTATGCTGATGGTGAGGGAGGGGGAAACTAAGACCTGGAACCCGGCGGAGTAGGGGCAAGGTTGGGGGGCGGGGAGCCGGAGGAGGCCCAGTCAGCCTGTGACTTTCTCTGTCCCTAAATCCTAGGAGAGGAATCAGATTGTCTGACAGAGTATGAAGAGGATGGTGGTCCTGATGGAGCCCGAGATGAAGGGGGCTCCCCTGGAGGGGGGACACCCAGCAGCACCTTTGAGACTGTGAGTAGAAATAGCCAGTGTTTCCCCCCTAAGTTTCCCCTTAAGCTCTTCCGGCTCTGTTCAGACTTCTGAGCCTCTTGCCCCCAAGCATCCCCCGACTGCCTCCCCTCCACCCTGTCCCAGCTCTGTCATGGGCTGGCCATGACCAGGACCCACATAAGGCTGTTGCTATTACAGGATGAGGAGAAGAGTCTGAGGCACCGGAGAGGCCGCCCCCAGGACCCCCCTGGTTCTACTGCGGAGGCCTGAGCCCTCTCCAGAGGGGGTCCCATCCTCCTGTCTTGGGAGTGACTCCAGGGCCAATCGGGCCGCAGCTGAGGGAAAGCTGTAGCCCAGGGTGGGGATGGGGCCCCCAAGCACCAGCCCTGCCCCTCCACTCCTCGGCACTTGCACTGGACCTGGCACTGGACTGAGCTGCCTTGGGGTGGGGGGTGACTGCACTGAATTGACCCCCCATTCCCCCCACCCCCCAAATAAATGCTTCTGGCTTCCTCTATGCTTGCTTGCTGCCTCTTGGACCCAAGGGCTGTGGCGTCCCTGAATCCCCTTTCAGGCAGGCCCTGGGCGGTTGTTCACCTGAGTGGCCACCAGGGGGCCAGGCTTCTTCACCATTGAGCCAGTCCGTGGCTCATGTGGTGTCCCCAAGGCAGGGGTTTGGGAGCCCAGGGGAGAGTTGTGAGCCCATGGCCTGCCTGAGGAGCACACCAGGCGGGCTGTGGAGAGGAAGCACGCCCAGAAGAAGAGAACCTGCAGACCCCAGCCCAGCCAGGCCTGCTAAGGGTCCCTCTTTCCTTTCCTACTGTCGATGCCACGTAATCCAGATCATAAGAATAGTTTTTCTGGGGTTTACTGTGAGGGTAAGTAGATAATTATATATACATTCAGAAGTGTGCATCCGTGAGGAAGTGACAGGGAGGGCGTCAGTAAATCTTTGCCTCGGGAAGGAGCCCTGTAGGCCCAAGGGTCGGGCACGGGGTTTGAGGAATGGGGACCTCCGGAGAGGGACAGAGTCTTAGACAGAGGCATTGGGCAGTGGTATGACAGAAGGCACAGGGCTTGTTTGGGGAAGAGCGAGGAGGCTGTCCGGGATCAGAGCTGTGGGGCTTCATGGAGCAGAAGCGTGTGAGCTGAGGCTGGGAAGGTAGACAAGCCAGGCTAAGGAGTTTGGGTTTTATTCAGGAGAAAGGAACAGGTTCTGTTCTCGAGCAGGGCCCAGCACTGGGCCTTGGGCCTCACTTGACCCACATCGACATCCTAGGTCATGGGTGGGGAACTTGCGGCCTTGAGGCCCTTGTGGCCCTGGAGGTCCTCACGTGTGGCCCTTTGACCGAATCCAAACTTCACAGAACATATCCCCTTAATAAAAGGATCTGTTCTGTAAAACTTGGACTCAGTCAAAAGGCCGCACCCCAGGTCTAGAAGGCCATATGTGGCTGCAGGTTCCCCACCCCTGTCCTAGGGATTCCAGTTCCTTCCCTGAACTCAACCAGGGGACCTCTTCATCTGGCTCCAGGGCCTTCTATTTTCATTGCTTTAGAAATATTCACCGTCACTGAGCCTCCTACTTGAAGTCAGGAGCTTCTGCCCTGCCTTCCTGGTCCCAAGTGGGCTCGGTTTCTCAGGCTGAGGGATCTCTGTCCCTTCTCTGGTTAACCTTGCCCTTTCCTCTGCTGCCACCCCTGGAACAGGGTGCCCTGGTCTAGCCTCCACTCCTTTCCTCTTATTACCTACTCCATCTCTACATGCTGTATACATGAGGACTTGGTTGTTGGTTTTTTTTTAAGATTTATTTACAAGGGAAATTAGCGAATATACAAATTCAGAAATAATACACTGGGATAAGGTGATTAGGAATGTACATAAAGGAAAATGACCTAGTTCCAGCCTGGGTGGTGCTGAAACCTTCCTATCTATTGTATCTAGCTCAAGTTCCTCGAGTCTAGTATGGCCTGTGTTTCTTTCTGAGCCTGAATTCTCTAGCAGCCCTCCAGAGAATGGTGTTTGCCACCCCCAGATTGGGGATTCCACCACCTGGATGGCAGCATCCATAGTGCAGCCCTGGAGCTACCGTCAGCCAATCGGGACGCCTCCTGATGGAAGCAGCTGGCTCGGGGCTTTCTGCCCACATTCCTCTCCAATCTCATCACTATCTACCTCCCTCGTTGCCCTGAGCAAGACAGAGATGAGGAGAGTCAAGCAGTCAATAAGAGTGTTCCCATTACTTAAAAAAAATCAGAATAATAGAACCCAGTACCTCGGGGGAGAGGCGGTTTGGCACAGTGGCTGGAGAGCCGGCCAGAGTCAGGCCTCTGACATGTAATGGCTCTGCCATCCCAAGCGGGTCACTTGTCCTCAGAGCCCGAGGCAGCTAAGACTTGAGTTGTAGACAAGATGCTGACTTTCAAACAGATCTTCCTTGTCCACTCTTTGTCTCTGGATCCCTCATACTTAGCACTGTGTCTGGCTCACAGTAGGTGTTTAATAAGTGCTTGCCTGTTCCACATTGGCAGAGGGAATTCCTTGCTTGCCACACTCATGCATACGGTCTGGGTCATCTGCAGTGCTCCCAGATGACAGGCCTGTTCAAGAGGCTGTGTGGTAGTGGGAGAGGCTTAAAAACCCCCAACAAAACAAAACCAGAGACCTGGCTTTGAGTGTGTGACCCTGGGCAAATCACTTGAGCTCCTTGTGCCTGTGTTTCCTCACCTGTAAATCGAGGGGAGAAAATGATTCATTATCCACCTCACAGTATTGGTGTGGGGAAAGCCCTTTGCCAGCCACCAAGCGCCATAGAAATGTGAGCTCTTACTGTTATTACAAGTGGGACGTGATTAGGCCTGTGCATTATTAGGAAGATTACTCTGGCATCAGTGTGAAGGATGGGTCTGAGCAGGGAGAGACTGGAGTCAGGGAGACCAGTTAAGAGTCTATAGTAATAGTCCAGGGGAGAGGTAAGGAGGGCCTGAATGAGGGTGGGGGCCGTGGGAATGGAGGGGAAAGATGGAAAAGATAGTGCAGAGATGGAATCAGTGGGAGTTGGCAAATACTTGGCTGTGGGAGGTGTGAGAGGAGGGGTCAAACCCTGAAGTTTCGGGTCTGGGTAGCTGAGAAGACGTGCAATGGACAGAAAAAAGGAGGGAAGCTACCACGTTTATCAGGGAAAGTGTTGGGAGGGAAATAAAGAAGCCTGAGGGCAGCACCCAGGAAAAATGCTTAGGAATTGGGAGAATGAGGAAAGGCTGGAGAGAGGCGAAGAAAGGGAAGCTAGGTAGAGGCCAGAAGAAACCTGAGGTTAGAGGGAGTGTGGGATGATCCAGCAGCCCCTAGGGTTTAACTGGCTGCTCTCCGAGGCCCTGATTCTGGCTGCTAGGACCTAGGAGGAGGTATGTTCCCTCCCTGGCTCACCAGCCCTTGCCCCTCACAGCCCAGGGGCCCCAGTTCCCAGCCCCCTGGCCAAAATTCCTACTCGGAATCACAACAAATCAGAGTGGGAAGGGGCCATAGAGACCAAACCCTCCCTGGACAAGAAGTCTCTTTACAGCAGCCCCACACATGGTCGTCATAATTTGAAGACCTCTGAGGAGCTGTCTGCTGCCTCTTCAGGTAGCCTTAGGGAGTCTTCCCTTCCCCCAGATGCCTTCTACCTGGTGCTCTAGTTGTGCCCTCTGGAGCTTCTCTTATCTGCCTTTCACATGACGGCCCTTCAACAGGCCTGCTTCTTCTCCAGGCTAAACCCCCACGCCCCCAGGTCCTCCCCTCCAGAGGACTCTTAGGGCCTTTTCTGGAATGTATCTTTAGGGACTTTCAAGTCCCAGGCAAGAAATCCAAGCACTTGAAGGAACACTTGTAGAATTTCTTTTCTACCAGGTGAAGGGTGAGACTTTGGAAGGAAAAGAAAGACATAAGAATTTTAGAGTTGAAGATCTCTTTCTCTCTCTCTCTCTCTCTCTCTCTCTCTCTCTCTCTCTTTCTCTCTCTCCTCCCTTCTCTCCCTCTCTCCCTCCTCTCTCTCTTCATATCTTTATATGGTGGCAAATGATGTATGTGTATATATATATATATATATGTAAATGAACATATATGTATATATATGGTGGCAAATGAGATTAGGATACCAGAATGATGGGCTGTTCTTGACCAAGAATGGATTTGGCTGGAGACTTGCCAATACTCAGGTAAAAGTGTAAACTTGATTCCTATGAAGGACACCAGGTAGGGCACAGGAAGAAGAGTGGAGGTAGGCAAGGTGCCTCATGAGGAAATAATTCCAGAGAGTTGAAAGCACGGCCTCAGGTGTCTACACCCTGAGGACCCCACTTAGGAAATTTCCAAATATCAAAAGATTAATGAGTTAATCAGTGTGAATGTGCTACACTGTCACCAACCTCTCACAACCCACCGTACCTTGGAAAACCATTTCATGGGTTGCCATGGTCAAAAGAGGCCATTATCTGTCCATCTAGATAAAAATATAGATAGATAGCTATAGCTATATAAATATGTACATATAATCTATGTAGTATATATGTATATCTGTGTGTGTATATTTATACCTGTACAGTCATGGAAAACATTTCCATATTAGCCATGTTGCAAAAGAACCCAGACCAAAAAAAAAAATAAAGTTAAATAAGTTTGTTCGATCTGCATTCCAACTCCATCAGTTCTTTCTCTGGAGGTGGATAGCATTTGTCATCATGAGTCCTTCAGAATTGTCGGAGAATAGCTAAGACTTAAAACATTTTTATCCTGGTCAGACCTACTAAAGCTCGTGGTCCGTGACCACAGCCTTCAGGAATCAGTATTCCTACTCCTTCACCAGGCACTGGAGGGAGAACCTTAATGGGAAAAAGGTTTAACATGATGATATCAATCTGATCTCATCAGTATCATCAAGTCTTGGTGGGATGGACTCATGAGTCTGGAGCACAGTGGAAGGGTATTCCTTATTCAAAAGAAACATCTAATTGAGAGTCCCCTAGAGTAGCACTGACACCTGTGTGGAAATCTACAAACCTAACAGGAGAAATGTAGTGGAAAGAATGCAGGTGAGGTTCAAGAAAACAGGTGATGTCACTTTTGGAGTCTACACAGAGGAGCAGGGATGGGATGTTCTCCAGGAATGACATTCTGTTGACACAGAATTGTGTCAGCTGTTCTATGAAGAAGAAAAGAGAATGTCCTCCAGACACCAACGGGGCTCTTCAGGGAGTGCTTGTTAGCCTTAACCAAGTATGTACAGGGGCTAAAAGGGAGTACAGGTAACTGAGGAGGAACACCGAAGCACGGAGCAGTTCTGTACAAATACTTTCCCGAAGGCTAAGGCCGAATATGAATGGAGGCTTATTACTGAGGGCACCAGTTGTGGTGGGAACAATGAGGAAGTAAAGACCGCTTCTTGGAGTGGATAGCGTCATTTTAACAAGTGAGAGAGGACAACCACCCATTCATTCAGCTCAATGCAACTGAAGGACAAGGAGGGAAGCTGTGATTTCT